ATCCAGTGTTGTTTTGAAACCGTATACCAGGGTTTGGGGCATTGAGAGCAAGCTGATTACCACCGGGGACAAAAGCGCTCCACCACCGCAGCGATGAGCCACACAGCACCGCTGCACACTATCTGGCCCCTATTGAAAAGAGGTCAGCAGTGCACTGAGCCAGGTTCATGAACAAAAGACAGTTGTATAACACCGCACAATCTGGGCTCTGTTTACAAGGCTCTAGGCCTGGCTGAAATACTCGGGCGCCAATGAAGGTCACCTGGCAGCAGAAAGTCACAAATGCTCTAGTTTTGCACTTTCTCGAGTTCATGCCCTAACCTTTTCCCTCCGGCCTTAAAAAAAATCCCAAACTCCATGTTGCCCCCAAAAAAAGGGCTCGAGGAAAAGTCAACCACTGCCGCATCCGCTACAAGCTGGACCAGAGCCGGCCCAAGTATTTCCTGGTGGAGCACACCTGCTTTGATAGCCTCTACAGTCTCATCTCCCACTACCGACAGTGTCCCCTGCGCAGCCGTGGTCTGGAACTCCTCCTGACCGATCCAGTACCCCAGCCACTAAGTCATGAGGGCAAAGAGTAAGTTGCTCCGCCCCCCACCAACCCGCCCACCATGGACTGCTAACCTCTGTATTTTCTCCTTTTCCCACGCGGTGTGACAATAAGACACTAATCACTGATAGCATGTCTTCTGGTGTGTTTTTTTCTTAGTGGATGGGAGTTTCACGCTCTACTAATCAGTCGGTTGCATGTTGCTGGCATGGAGGTCTTCTTTAACCTATGGATGAACCGTGCATGTGGCCTAATGCTTTGTTCCTAATTGTATTGTTTTTGTCTTTATCTCTCCTCTCCTCTGTGTACCTAAACCATCATGTGCATCATGTCACTTCTGTGCTCCTTTCAAACCGTAACCATTCTGGAGGCATCTCTTTATGGTTTTTTTGTAATCAATTCCTTTTTCTTTTGAATCTGTTTTTCCTGTCATTTTCTCTTCTCCTTGCCATCATTTTTATCTTGTTTGTCACGTATCTTTGACCTCTTTTTTCTCTTTACCATCATCGCTCGGTGACTTTTCTTTCATACTCTTTATGTTTTGTATGTTCCTTTTCATCACCTCATTAATGTGTCTTTTTTCCTCGACATGCCTTATGACCATATCACTTAAATTCATAATCCCCTTCCAATGTATCTCCATCCGATGGTTTCTTTTTTTCATCCTCAATTATTCTGTCTTGGTTTTCATCTTGCCAAATGCGTCCACATTTCCTTACTAACCCTCGACCTCACCTTTCCCTGAATCAATCCTTCATTTCCTCCTCTCCCTACCCTTAAATCAAATACTGTACATGCACACACAACACAATCTTAAACAGGGCACAGGGACGGGTAAATCACTGCCGAATCAAATCCAAGCTAGTGCAGGGTCAGAGCATGTACTACTTAACGGACAGCCAACTCTTCCCAAACCTGTACGACCTTGTAAACTACTATCGTGAAAAGCCACTGCGCGGACGGAACGGTCTGCTGTTAACCCTGACCCACACGGTGCCCCAGGCAATGGGACATGAAAACCAAAAGTAAGTTGTTAACGAAGAACTACAGAAAAAGAAGAAAGCATATGAATTTTGTTTGGTTGATTCATTGCTCAGTAACAGTTTGCTGTGCATATTTTATTTGTACCATTTTGAATCAAAAGCTCTTGGAAATCTTGCTGTTTCATGATTCATTTTCTTTCAAAGCAAAGAATGCCATCAATATTTTTCACGAAATGTAGAAGCACATTCGACCTTGTTTCACAGAGAGAAAAGCAAGTGAAATTTTACTTTGTTGAAAGGAGTCAAAGCCCTGTATATCATTTGCAAAAACATGGTCGTAGAAAAACTCACCCATTGCTAAAGACACAGCAAAAGCGCAGCAAGAAACTTTTCCAGCTAACATGCCATCATTTCAGGAGACACATCTATAGCATCTCAAAATTTAGGTTTTTTGCATGTACGAGTGGCCCAGAGTTTGTGGTTGAAAAGAAAAACAAAAATGCTTGAAATAAAAATGCTTCTTGTCTTACTTTTTTAGTTGTCTGCCACAGTTACAAAAACTAGGCATGTGACATATCCCCCAGTTGACTTTTGTTGTTAGTCCAAGTGATGATTCGCGAGAGGCAATTTTAGCTATCCTTTTTTTTTAGCCCTGCCAGTGAATGAGCTCATCCAATTGATCATTGGATACTTTGAGTGCAACAAAAAAAATGAATGGACCTTTTGTCTTAAAGTGTTACCCCTTGACATTAAATTTTAAGCTGACTGAAAGCAGAAGTATTTGAAAGTAATCACTGAAGAATATCAGACAGACACAGGTTAACTTCCCCACAGTTTGTCTATCTCTTGTGTTATTTGTTTCCCTATAATGTGCCAGATGCCCTTCTCAATTCTTGTAGGTCTGGTCTGTCATTGTCATTTCTTACAGTATTCATTGCCTAATCTTTTTTATGCAGTTCTCCATTAACATGGCCCTTTATCTTACTTTGTTTACTGTTCACTTTCACTTTTCAATTCAGATGCTTTATTCTGCTGGGCAATTTTCCTTTTATGCAAGTTGGAATAGATACATTGAAAAAAAATTAACATTGAGTGGCCTCAAATAACTTTCCTTTGGCAAGAGTGGAAATTCTTGAAAGCTTTATAATAATTCAACCATAGATACACATGCAATATTGTAAATTTTTGCATGTACAAAATTCTGCATTGACTTGGTGGGTTATCGCAACAAGAAAGTGTTGGCAAATTGATTGTCAAGTTCCATTACTGGGTGCACAATCTCTTGCATTAAAAAAATATGGCCATACATAAAATTTGTTAGTATTCACAAGATAAATGCACTGCTGTAGGAACATTTAGCATGTTGAGCAAAGAAACTAATCCATCTATCTATCCATGTGCTGGACCGGGCACCCTTGCTGTGTACTATTTACACGTGCACTCTACTTTGCATGGATAATCTTGCTGCTGTTACCATTACTGTATATACACAGGTTTGGCACCACATCAGGAAAAATTTCTTTCATGTTGTTGTATGTGTGATGTTGCAGTCCATAACCTTAGCAACTATTTGAGCTTTGTAGTTGACTGTGTTGGGTATGCCTCATACAATCCCCCTCGTACATTTCCTTCTTTCCTTTATTGTAAATAATGTAAATACTGGATAGCTCACTGCAAGCTAGAAAATTACCAACGTTTACTTGTTATATTTCATATTCCCTCTTGATTACAAAGGCTAGTGTTCTGTCCACTATCACAAAGTTCTAAATTCTCAAAACTGAACTCTTTCCCCTCACAAATCCTATAGATTTAGTTCTTTTGAATCATTACATGTGTGCATGTTAAAAGCAATTTCCTTGTCAAAAACAACTATTTGAATTAAGTCATTTATGTATGGATTGTTCACAAGTTTCAAAAATGAATTCAGTTCATTAAAAGGCATGCCATTGCCTTTGATACAGAGAATTTGAAAGTATAATCCTTCTGTAAGAGGCATTGGTGCTAACTTCCCTCGACTCCTCATGGTAATTTCTGTTGCAAATTTGTTTCCACAAAGTTGGTTTCATAAAAAGTTGAGCCGAACCCAAGCGGAGGAGATGCTGAAGCGGGTGCACCAAGACGGTTCATTCCTCGTCAGGAAGAGGGAGCAGGCAGACGACTCCTACGCCATTTCATTCAGGTGAGGCATCAGGGTACCAGCCATTCATGGGCAGTAGTTACCATCAGTCCTTGTTTCACCTCATTGCTTATGACAGATTTTGTGAAAGGACTTAAGACTGGACTTGCGGAAGGGCTTAAAATGGACTGGCCAACAGCACTGGTTTCTGATGAGATTTCTGAGAAAGCCAGGGTTAGATAATCACAGACTCTTTTTTTGTCCCACTTGGTTGCATCATCCACCTTGCAGGGCTGAGGGCAAGATTAAGCACTGCCGCATTAACCAGGAGGGCCGCCTCTTTGCCATCGGCAATGCCCACTTTGAGAGCATTGTGGAGTTGGTCTCCTACTACGAGAAGTTCCCGTTGTACCGCAAGATGAAGCTTAAGTACCCTGTTAACCAGGAGATTGTGGATCGGCTCGGAGGGGTGGGCAGCAGTTTCCAAACAGTCTGGTTTTCTTATTGGTCCATAGTTGTTACACTTTTTGTGAAATTTAAATGACCTCGGCTGCATGTTGAAATAAACCTGTGGTCTTTGATCTTAAGGTTAATGGTAGAGGAGAATGAACTTGTTGTTAGTTAAATCTTGCAAAGTAAAAAGGAAAACATACTTATGCTTTTAGGTTTAGTTAAGTAATGATTCAGCACTTTATCAATAAAAAGTTGATGAATTGCATTGTCTAATTTTTTTCCAGGCTGCAGACGAGAATTCCTTGTATGGAAACCCAGAGCTCTACATGGACCCAAACCAGTTTGTACCAAAGGTAGGTGCAAATGGACCAACATTAACATTCTTTCTTTCTTCGTGGAGTAAAAAGAACCAACAATTCTTTGTATTCATCTTCTTGACCGTGTGTACCATATCTACACTCTTCTTTCGTTGAGATTCATCCAGTGTTTATATTTGCATTTAGGGTTCAACCTCAAATTGAAATGTATGGATTGTAGCTGAATGATCTTACCAGTACAAGGAATTTCCTGTTTTATGAAAACCATGCATTTTCTTACAGTATTAACCAGATGTCTGTTGGCTTTCCTGTAAATATGATTTACTGTTCACCAAGTGTGGTTGGTACTGAACTGTAAAATCGTGCTTCCAGTTAGGGCCAGTTTCCTTTTTATCAATTGCACTTGGCCTTTGGCAGGTGACGGTGAAAGCTTTGTACGACTATAAGGCACAGCGAGATGACGAGCTGTCATTTTGCAAGCATGCCATCATTACCAATGTGGACAAGCAGGACCTTGGATGGTAAGTCATTTACGCACACCTCTTGTTGCCTTCAGCAGCCCCCAAAACACTAAATGATTGTGTGAAAAAGTAATACTTTTACCCTTGTGTCCAGGTACTCAAGAAAAGAAAGTGCCATTGGATTCCTGCTTAGCTGAAAGTTTGACAGGAATTTAAAATGTTTGTAGCAATAGTGTCAATCAAGTTACAAGTTGAATATCAGATCAAATTTGAAGTTTTTCATGGTTAAAGTGGCCAATTGATTAATAGGTGTACCCGTAGGTTAAATTTTGTCAAAATTCATTGTTCATACCATGTAAATATCAGGTGGAAAGGAGACTATGGGGGCAAGAAGAACATGTGGTTCCCATCCAATTATGTGGAGGAAACCCAGCCAAATGATAATGGACCTGATTCAATGTTAATGGGAAACCTACAGAAAGGGGTCATCGATATTCGGAGATGTGTTGTCGGTAAGTTGATCTCATTTCTTTTTTACCAGTTTTAAAAAGAAAATAAGGTTGAGAGAGAACTTTTGACCCAATGAGTTGCAAACTACAGTTAACAAGTTTTGAAACCTTTAAGTTGTGCTTGATGCTCAGACAGCATGGCTGTCTATGGTATTCAGAGTTTCGGATATATTTGTGTATGAATTTACAATCGTTGATCTATAAGTTGAGATACAAATTTTTAAATGAATTTGAAAAGAGTTTTAAAGGGTTTTCTGAGTGACTTTGGTCGTCAACTTGTCCTGGTATTACAGTTTGGATTTTTCATGAAATGAGTGATCAAACATGTTTGGCCAAACCATTTACAGAGACGTTGCCGGCAAGTCGGTCCACCCACCCCTACGTCTTCAGAATCTCCCCTCTGAACAACAGACCTTCTATCGACCTGGCAGCATCTTCCACCGAAGACCTCGGCGACTGGATTCAGACCATAGAGGATGCCTCCATCAAGGCTGAAGCCAGGGTAAGGGAAGGGTGGGTGAATGATCCTGCTAGAATGTCTGGAAAGTACAGGAATTGTGGGACTTTCTTGGAAAGTGTTGGTTTGACCTGTCCTGGAATGTTTTTGGAATGTTTGGCCTGACCTGGAAGGTCTTAGGAATATTAGGTCTGTTATTTAAGGTTCTTTTTGCGGTGCTGTTCAAGAAAGAGAACATGATTCACGTTTCAGATTTTTTTTCTCCTTCATATTGCAGCGATTGGAGGAGACCAGGCATGAACGCAAGATGCGCATCGCTAAGGAATTCTCTGATCTCATCGTGTATTGCAGATCAGTACCTTTCCGTGAAGACAGTAAGCACCTCTCTCTTCTCTTTATTGACATCGTCTTTTTTTTTGAGATTGCTAGACTAAACCCTCACCAGGAAGGAGAGCAAAAGAAAGAATCTTCATCTGATTTTTTGGTCTCTTTTTTCCAGACATTCCTGGCAACTACTATGAAATGTCCTCCTTCCCAGAAACGAAGGTGGAGCGGTACCTGACCATCTCCAAATCCAAGATACTGCTGGAGTACAACAAGCACCAGGTTCGTCCAGTTCTAAGAGATTTGTTTAATGTGTCATCTTCAGTAAAGCCTAAAGTCACATTTTCAGACGCTGAGGTTTTTGTGTGCTTGAAGTTGCTGCTGTAGCATTTCACGGTCTTTCTTTCTTTGTTGAGAGTTTGTATTAAACTGGCTCCAGACACAGTGCTACTGCAATGAAGAGGTCCTTTCTGTTGGCATGGGCAAAAGGCTAATGTATATCTATCATGTGTCTAGATTATTTATGAATAGGAGTCAACTGATGTTGGTTTTAACTGCAAAAAAAAGGCTGATGTTTGGGTAAAACATAAGCTTTTTTTTTACCGTTTTTTTTTATCAATATAACCACTTCCTTCTGGGTGGACTTTGAATATTAGGGACGAGTTCCTGGGTGATTTTCAAGATTTTCCGTTTTCAAATTATTTCAAAAATTCATATCTTCATTTACTGGATGTTTACACCAACATGAATGACTGTCTGGTAGCTGCTCTAGTCTGACAGGCAACCTCCATTGATGCCCGAGTATTGCAGCCAGGCCTGATGCCCCATAAAGAGAGCCCAGATAGTGTGGTGTTGTGTAATTTCCTTTGTTTTTGAAATTGGCCCAGTGTGTTGCTGAATGGCAGTGGTGTCGTTTCAAATGCGGCCAGATTAGCATGCAGCGGTACTGTATCGCTCGTCGCTGGAGCACTTTGTTTGGCGGTGATAATCCGTGGGCCCTGAATGCTGCAAACAGTTGTATACTGTTTCAAAACAATGACGGATTACCTCCGCTAATGCCAGTGTTAGGTCCTCTGTTCAGAATATGGTCTTTCGTTACAAGGCCCAGCTCTTTTGTCCGATTTCGGGCAGCCCGACTACGCGTACAAACCCAAGGAGTCCAGTATTGTAAACCCCCTGCATCGAGTGGTTAACAATTTCCTTGAAAATGTAACCTGAACATGAAGTAGGCCTATTCCTAATATAATAACACAAAACAACGTACTCCCTTAAAGAGTCAATTTACACAGTAACAGGATTAGGGTTTTTTACCTTTATTGTCACTAAGCGTGGACAATAAACTGCACATCACATCTCCACTCGCACAATACCAGTAGCGCACCGTTGTATTCACACCAATGCACGCAGTGCACACATAGCTCACTCACAGTACGGACACACAACACTTGAGCCGAAACCTGGGCTACCTTCAGACAGATCACACAACACCTTGTGGTGCCAGTGTAGTTCCCTGGCTCTGTGCATGCCATTCAATGGCAATGCTACAGACGTACACTGACCGCTCCGTGGGGCCACAGCCTGTGTGTTGAGTTGTTGCAGTAAGGATCGTACACAGGTGTAATTTTTGGGGATACTTTACATTGGTGTAACCATGGTATAACCGTTCAGTTATCACGCCGAAATGAAAACCACAGTAGTTATTCATGCTGAAATGAAGTAAATGAAATTTCTGGTTTGTCAAAGCTGAGTGCAGCTTTTGTTCCTTTCTTCAATTTAACATCGGCACTCATATCGGCAAGAACAGTCAAATTTTGTTGATGTTGCCAAACATTAGCCCGATCCGATGTTCAATCCGATCATCAGTTGATCCTTATTTGTGAAAGCACAAAACCACTTCAAAATTTCCTACATTTTGCATAATAACAAGATGGCATATTTATAGAAATTGTTTCAGTAAGCAATGGACTCTCCATGTGCTTTACACCATATTGATTCTTTTCACTCGACCCATACACATTTCTAAAGCCATCACTGCTCACTGAATACAGTTCTCCTTGTTTCTGAACCATTTGTAAATACATTATTTTGGTTTTTTTCAGTTTCTGTAAACCTTTTCAGTTGTAATGATTTTCTTTGCCATCTGTTTCCTGGGTGAAATGAAACTGTGAATTCTGTTGGCCTTCTGATTTTTGCAGGTCAGTCGGACGTATCCCAAGGGGCAGCGCTTTGATTCCTCCAACTACGACCCTGTGCCCATCTGGAACATCGGCACACAGATGGTGTCTCTCAACTACCAGACACCAGGTCAGTGATCCACTCCAACTTAGGCAGATGCAACAAGTTGCAGCAGGTTTACAAGCCTGTAAAGTGGTGTTGGACAAAGCAAATAAAAAGCAGCAAGATGAAAAGTTGATTTTGGTATAATGAGAGTTGGTCAATGGAACCTTAAGCAGACAAAAAACAGCAAGACAAAGAGTTTATTTTGGTGTAATGAGAGTTGGGCAATGGAATGTTGTTGTTATGCCCCAACAATAGTTGGGACAGTCCCAACTATAGTGCTCGAATAGGGTTGGCCCAATTGGCAAATCTCTTTAGAAATTTTCTCAGCCTTCTGCAGGTGTCTGCAACTCACAACCAGACAGAATTCATCAAAAAGACACCATCCTGGCATTTCACCAATGACACAGACAAAAATTAGACTCTGCTGGCATGCTTTGATGACGAATACAAAATGACGACGGCACTTGCTATGGCAAAAATTGGTATGCTGTACCGTAGTTGGGCTAGCCACGATGCAGCATCATAGTTAGGACTGTCTCAACAATAATTAGGACTGATGCTGTAACTGGGATGTTACATCATGGCTGTGTGAGCCTGCAGTGGCTGGTAGCCATAGCCTCAGACCCAGAGGCTGTGTAGTCTCAGGGAGGGTTAACCTCTTGAATCATTTTATACATGGGTTTGAGTCTAACTGCAGGAGAGTTAGAGGTTAATGACATTAATACCTGCCAACCAATTATCGGAACTGTTTTTTTAAGTTTAAAAAGGTCGGAATGTTTTGATTTCCATAAGAAGGAAAAAATGAATAAAAAATCTCTGCAAAAGAGGGTGCTATTAAAATGGGTGTCCGGATTTCTGATTTTTCAATGCTGGCAGGTTCGTAAATATGCTGAAACCTGCTCGTACCTTCTCTTTAAAGGCAAATCTAATCTCACTTCCTTTGTAGACATGAATTTAAAGTGCATGTATGACACAATCCACTTGGGTTTTTTTTCATGGCTGTGATAGCAAGAGTTGGACTCATTTGCTCAGCCATGCTTTGACTGAAATTGAATGTTTCACGTTCCTGGTAGTGGTTCTAAAAAGTTTTTCAGTTGTTGAGTGGTCACAAGTTTCTTTTTTTTTCCCCTGCTAATTTCAGACCGCTTTATGCAAGTTAACGAGGGCTTCTTTGCCCTGAACAACCGCTGTGGATACGTTCTCAAACCAGCCTGCATGAGAGATGCCGCCTTTGACCCCTACGACCAACGCACAGTGTCTGGAGTCGATCCCATCCATCTAAACATTACGGTTTGTCACCCATTTTTTTTGGGGGGGGATCCTTTGTTCCACAGAAATTGTACACCCTGAACCTGAATACCCTGAGACAGGATAAAATGATTGATTGAAAACTAATGAACATTAGTTGGAAACGTAAACACATCAAAGCAACAATTTTCCTGTTGTCCATCTGTTTCTTTGTTAGCAAGGGTGCTTATAGAGGGCGCTCTTTGTTGTGAGCTGCCATTTTTTCGTTGTGCTTTAGTTGTAATTTTTATCCGTTTTTATCTTTCTTTGTAAGTGCCATCCATTGTTGTTTTTAAGCTGGTGTGTTTGGTGAACTTTATGATATTGTTATGGATCACTTTGAGTAAATTTATGTTGTGGATTGTTCTTCATTTTTTTCAATTATCGGGATCTACTGGAGACGACCACGCCTGTGGTAACTACTGTGTGTAAGCTTATGCTGCAAATATGGCGGGCAAAAGTGTTACCAACACATGTACTGCCATTATTACACTCTCGATATGTCCATATCAATCATGGAATGTACATGTATGTTTGAGTGACAGAGCCACGCTGTTTGACAGTCATCAGAGAATCTGTTGAAAGTCTACTGGGTATGGTCAACCTAGTGTGTCACACACAAGGTGGTCCAATCATGGACAAACTTCTCTAGTTTTATCGGGCTACGATCCTCCGTTCAACATCACAATCTATATGGACATTCTATTAAACCCTGGTCCACCATTGATGCATAACTGTGCATCAGCTGGTGATCAAAAGCATGGTAAAAGTACTGAAGCTCACCTTCACCTGGCATTACTACTAGAATACGGTATTCACATGCAGAATTAAAACGGCTGCGATTTTCCACTTGCCAGCATCTTGAGCATCACCAGTTACATGTGCTCAAAGAGAATGTTACATTACAGGGGAAACAGAGCTGGCAGAAGAATTGACATGATGGCAAGGGTTGCCTGTAGATCTGAGCTTTGTTCAAGCCTGTGCAATTCAATCAGCTACTTTGCCCACCGTGGAAATCTTAGCATGTATTCTGCTTCCAATTCCCGTGAAATCAAACATTATCGATTGTCACACATCCCAACTGTGATTAGTACAGAAGTTGATCGTCAGTGTTTTGCATGGTCAAAATGCTGGAGAAATTTTTCGAGAAACCCAAACAATTTAACTACTATAAAACAGTCTCGCAATCTATCTGTTGAAGGAGGAACATTTAAGTTCTGCACAGTTAATATGCAGTCTATCAGGAACAAGACAGAGCATTGCACCGACTATGTGTTAAAGCAAAATCAACATGGCAGCAGTTACAGAGACATGGTTATCTGAAAATGATGCCATTGCCAGTGCTATGGCTATGCCTACAGGAAGCAAGTTTGACAGCCATTCACATCAGCATAGCGTGGTGGAGGGTTGCCTTACTCTACAGAGACAGCTTGGCTGTAACTAAAACTACATCTGTTGGAAAGCTCACTTTTGAGTTCTCACAATAGAATGTGCAACATACATGTACTTCAAATGGATTTTGTAATGTTATTGTTCATCAACTTCCTCACTCCACAGATCACTTGGTAACGACTAATGATTTTTTGGGGGAATTTGCTGATAATCAGGAATCAATCATCTTGCTACCTAGTCCTCTCCTAATAGCCAGTGACTTTAATATCCATGTTGATGTCTCTGCTCAGTCTGATGCTTTTAATTTTGCCAGCTTTTTGGAGAGTTTTGGACTGGAACAGCATGTTCATCATCCAACACATAGGTTGGGGGCATACATTGGACTTAATTATAAGTGGCAAGACTGATAGCATTATCATTTCTGCGCCTGTACCTGATACATATCTCTCAGATCACTCATCAATAGTGTGTGATATCTCCATGAGGAAACTCAGCCATACAGTTAGATAGATGCCCTTCAGAAAAACCAACTCCATCAATGTGGACTCATTTTGTGAGGAGTTAAGTTCTACTGAATTGTGTAGAGACTCACATGAGCAATTTGATGAACTGGTATATACATGTGTGTATAATTCTACTTTATCATCTCTACTGGATAAGTATGCACCTCTTCAAGAGAAAATTATGATTGCTAGTCCTAATGTACCATGGTATAATTCACGTAAAGAATCAAAGTTGGAAAAACGGCAAGCTGAAAGAAAATGGAAAGGGTCACATTCTGATTTAGATTTTAGGAATTTCAAGTTAAAAAGAACCGTCATACTTACCTGGTGAACAAGATATTAGGCATTGGATGCTCGCTGACAAGTTAATGATAAATGAAACGAAGTCACTTACGAACCGGATTGGCTCTAAAAATCATATTGCTAAAATTAACATCAGTCGTATAACTGTTGGTGACTACATTGAACTGGTACAGAAAGCTAAAAATCTTGGTGTCTTGGTTCGACGTAAATCTGAAAATGGATATACAGGTTGCAAAAACGTGCAGTGCTTGTTTTTATCACTTACACAATATTCATGCCATGAAGAAACACCTAACTGTTGAAAGTGTTCCAATTCTTATCCATGCGTTTGTTATTAGTCATCTTGACTTCTGTAATAGTTTATTGTTTGGTATTCCAGAGGTACTGCTAAACCAGCTTTAGCTAACTATTGTAATTATTTGTGTAATGTAATTTAATATAAATTGTATATTTAAGTTGATACTTATGGTGTTTGGAATTCATTTGAATAATTTTGTATGGGTTGAATGTTTAAAAGGCTGAAACTCATCCACTTTTTGGACAATCCAAGACTAAGGTCTGGCAAAACATAACATCCTTTTTTTTTTCTCCTTGCAGATTCTGGCAGCACGTCACTTGGAGAAGACTGGGCGGAGTATCGCCAGTCCCTTTGTTGAAGTGGAGATAATTGGTCTGGATCGAGACAATGCCCAAAAGTACAAGACACAGACAGTTGGTCAGTAATTGTTATATTTGGAGGCAAAGCCATTTTTAAAGATTTATATGGGAAGAAAAGGTACTTTCTTAAAGTCTGCATTTGTGGATACAAGCCATTTTTATTGCCTTGGTGCTCATTCAAGTTAATCAAAGATGTTAAAATTGTCCTACACATCATATTATTAAGCACTATTGGTATGAGTCATTGTAAGGTTGCATTGGAGTGCAAGTGTTAATAGCAAACGGCATTAGCGGTGAGTTAGGGGCTTTCATATGTGCACCTGTTATTCCAGCCGTAGCCACAATTTTTGGACATGGGCTGCTACTCCTAGTACTTAATAAACTCTGTGCTTTTTGTTGCACAGCTGACAATGGCTTCAACCCAATCTTCAGCGAACGCTGTGAATTTGATGTTGTTAACAAAGAACTGGCCTTCATCCGCTTTGTTGTGCAAGATGAGGATGTCTTTGGGGACCCCAACTTCCTCGGTCAGCGGACACTACCACTGCGGGCAATCAGAACAGGTGAGTGATGCTGCAGCCTTGTCTGAAATGGTTGTAGTCTTGATTCAAGAAGTGTGTACGTATATTTGACTCTTTAGGTAAGCTTAGCTACAGATCTGCTTCTGCGGAAGCAGCTTTATTTCTGAGTGTTGTTGCTTGTTGTTGGCCTCTTTTATTTTCCTCTGTTTCTCCTTTTTCCCAGGTTATCGCTCATTGCCACTTATGAATGGGTACTCTGAGTTTCTAGAGCTGGCATCACTGCTCATTCATGTAGAATCCAGGGTTATCGGGGTGAGTATAACCACTTCCAGCCAGGGGCTCCGGTACCGGAGGCATAGGCCTTATATTCGTGGCCGGGGTCTCCGAAATCGGAACTTTACTTTTAAAAAAAAAAAAGTTGCTGGACGTGTCTTAAAAAGTTTGGCGCTGTCAGTTAAAAAGTGTAGGCCATCATTAGAGGAAAATAAATTGGTCCAAGGCAATAATGGGTTGCTGGGGCCGGTGAATTGGGACTTTATTTTATAGCCGGGGTGATCGAACTTATAAAAGCCGGTAATAAAATTACGAGCTGCTGAGAGCTGCCGGGCAGTGCCAATCAATACCCGTATTCTTTCAGTGCAGAGTGCTGACATTAGCGGAGGTAATCCGTGTATTGTTTGTGTAGAGCGCATTTGTTCGCGCTGCCGGGCGCTCACTGGGGATTATCACTGCACTGCACTGAAAACAAAGCGCGGGCTGTGCACGCTCATTATGCACCTGTGCCCCATGAATGACCCGGCCCGGGCGCTGCTGGCCCTTGCCACGTTGACTGACAGGGCACGGCCCTCGCTGCTTGAGAATAAAATCGCCGTACAGTGGCTACATGTGTTCATATTGGGTATCATGTTATCAGAGCACAGACAACATGGCTGAAGTTATATCTGGAGAGTCCAGTTCTTCCAGTGAAAGCGAGTTTTATCTCAGTTCAGACGATGGTTCTTCGTCTTCTTCATCATCGCTGTCACCTGCTCAAGTACAGTCAAGTACAGAAATTGACAGTGATGTACCCTTGGCTGTATATGCCAAGCGCAAGAGACAGTCCCGTACCCAGACCGCTGCGTCGACCAGCAGCAGTGCCGCACCGTTCCGGTGGACAGATGAAGACAGTACACTGCTGAAGTACGGCTTCACCGGTAATGGTGGTGCCGTCGATCCCCACCTGCATCGCAGCTCGACCTGCAGTGAAGCTTTTGAACTGTTTTTTTACGACGTTCTCTACAACAAGACAGTGCAAGAGACCAGCCAGTATGCCGTGCAGAGGCCCGCTATGACATCGGCGCACATGCGATCATGGACTGATCTGAACACTAGAGAACTGAAGGCCTTTCTGGGCTTTTGCATAATGACGGGCATTGCGAAGCACCCCACCCTTCATAGCTTCTGGTCCACCGACCCACTACTGAAGATGAGCCTATTCCCGTCCGTCATGCCCCGAGATCGCTTCCTTGCCATCCTGCAGTCCCTGCACTTCAACGATAACACCGCCATGCCGGAGGACTGCACCGACCGCCTCTTCAAAGTGCGCCCAGTCGTCAACCATCTTGCTCAGAAGTTTGCCACTGTCTACGTTCCTCAACGGGACATTTCCGTCGACGACTCCCTGTTGAAGTTTTACGGGCATCTCCGCTTCGCTACCTACAACCCCAGAAAGAGGGCCTGCTTCGGCATCAAGATGTACAAGTTGTACCAGAGCACCGGTAGTGCCGCCGGGTACTGCAACAACTTCAAAATCTACACCGGCCAAAGTAAAGGAGACCTCCCAGCAACTACACAAGTGGTAATGGACCTGGTGAACGACTTAAGTGGCAAGGGCTACAACCTTGCCCTCAACCGGACCTTCAGCAGTCCCGATTTGCACCGTCATGGCAAAGAGGAAAGGGATGCCGAAAGACCTGCAGTCCGTCAAGCTGAAGCAGGGCGAAACAGCGTTCCGGTCAGCCGACCTGGGCTTTAGCGGTTCTCTCCCGGCCATGGTGTGGCGAGACAAGCGCAACATCCGTATGCTCTCCACCATGCATACGGCAGACATCCGTGGCTCCTGCAAGCAAGACAGGACAGGGCAGGAAAAGCAGAAACCGACCTGTGTCATCGAGTACAACACCCTGATGGGGGGCGTTGACAAGAGCGACCAACTAGCAGCAAATCATCCAGCAACTCATAAGTCCCTCAAGTGGTACAAGAAGCTCCTCTTCTCCCTGCTCAACTTGACGCTGGTGAACAGCTATGCCGTGTACCTGGCCATTGGTCACCACCTCTCCTTCCTCGACCGCTTGAGTCTTGTCCGTGAGCTGCTGTTTGACGAGCCCTTGCCCGAGTACCGCCCTCAGCACGATACTCCACCAGTCAACAACTCCGGCTTTGTCGGCCGACACTTCCCCGTGGACTTTGAGAGGACCAGTTATGGCGACTTCCGCCACCGGCGGTGTGTCCTCTGCACTTCCCGTGGTCTGCGAAAGAAGACACACTTCGAGTTCGAGTGCGACACGTGCCACCAGCCCCTCTGCGTCGCCCCCTGCTTCAAGGAGTACCGTACTGTCCACTAATTGACACTTTGAACATTTACTTTCATGGACATTTTATATTTTGTGTTTTTCATGATTTGATGCCCCTCTTATCTGGTGTAAAACAATATGTCATTTACTGGTGGTTTTAGGAGTTGTCATAGTTTCAACCTTTGAAAAAAATGACGAAAAAGACAAAGTTTCTGGAAACTTTTCATCCTATTCATTCCTTGCACCGGTGTTAGGAGTTTGCTCATTCTTGCCTTTTTTATGAGTTTTGCTTTTTATTTGATTAAAATAGTGGAAATTTATTTTACTACTTTTATGAGTTCAACTATTTCAATGAGAAATGAAAAGAAAACACAAGAGAAATGACAAGAAGAAAATAAGAGAAAAAGAAGTTCTCTCCAAATATTTGTCTGTGTGTGTATTTCTGTGTGTACTTAATTTTATTTGTTTCTAAATTTTACTTGAAATTGTTGGGGAAATAAAGTTTGGGAAGGGAAATATCTTACTCTATGGGAGGGAAAATGAACAAGTTGGGAGATAAAATATGAGAGTGGTTTGGGGGAGATATAAGTTTGGTAGATGGGAAAATATATAACAGAAAAAAAAACAATAGCTTCAAAAAATAGCAAAAGTTATATGCAGCAGCGCCGCAAAAACCCCACACTTTTAGACCCCATTTTTACAGCATGATTCATTTGTCCGTCATGGCCCGCACTCATTGAACAGTTGACAAAGCCCAGTGCATGTGGGCACAGCTTCCCATTCACTCACCGCATATTACACGCTGAGGTCTTGACCGTCAATCGCTCCGCATAGCAACACGGCAGCATAG